CTCCTGCCGCTGACAGTTAATGTCACCCCGACTGAAATCGCATTCCTTCTTTCTTTTTTCACGATGAATCTCTCTCACTGTCAAAAAATAGGAATCCGTGAACGTTTTGCGATGATGTGACACGGTATAACTTTAATGAGCAGAATGAGAAAAGGTTTAATCCAAATTTTTGAAATTTTTCTCTAAAATTTTTTAAAAATTATGATGTGAATTCATCTATTTGTTGTATTTATTTTAATGTTATTAGGTGTTGGAATTAATTCGTAGCGTTTTACAAGTGATGGGAAGTACTTTCATTAATGTATTTTTTAAATGTCTCTTATATTATCTCTTTTCATATTTTACTAGATTGCTATATTATTAGATTGATATACTGAAACCTAATATACGTTTTGATTAAATTTAGAAGTTTAGTCGAGCATGATTAATAAACGTTACCGGCAAATTACATATATAATTATGAGTGATGATGCTAATTATATGGCTTCTCGCCCTTCGACATCGATTCGCGCGCGGCTTGCGCCACTCTGTGCTAATTACGCCGCTAATTATATTACTTTCTGCCCTTCATAGTTGACTGACTCGCATCTTGCGCCAAATAGTCGAAAATGATTTCATATCGCGATTTTTGTGATGATAACTCGTGCATCTTGCATCTTGATCAGGAATGCTTTCAATATTAGCATCAGATTTTAACTCACGTAATTATGTGATTTTGAATTTAATGCTAATAAAAGTAAAATTATTATTATTATTTTTATTAATATTTAACAATATCCCTTTTGAGGGATTATATTTAGAAAATGCATATTATGTAGATTCAATTGGCTGTCGAAGATTACAAATAAACTAAAAATATCGTTAAAAAAACCACGCTATTTGAAATCTGAAACTTTTATATTCCAAAATTTTTTAAGTTAGATGTAAAATTTCTTTCAAACTCGATGTAAATTAAAATTTTATACAAAGCAAAATTTCAATATAAAAATTTAATCTTAATTTTATAAAAGAAAATTTTTTAATTTACAATACTTGAAGCTAATAAAATTTAGCAGAAAGGATATCTGAACTCACGACGATTTAGTAGATACTAATAAATTCCAATAGCGATAATTCTTAAGATTTGATCAATAATAATATCATAGTTGAAAAAATTTTTTTATTAAAAAAAAATTGTGCATGCAATTCTTACCTGAAGCTGTGATTCGAGGTCAGCCTTCTGTGCGGCTAGTTTCAAGGATTTTTCTTGGAACTCGGAGAGCGAGCCCTTCTCACCCTCCAACTGGCGTAGCAAGTTGGTCTTCTCGGTAAGGAGCTTGGAATTCATATCCTCCAATTCCTTGCGTAGTTTTTCCTCCTTCTCGAAGGCTTCCTGCGCCTTCCTGGCTTTCTCTTCCAGTGCCTGCAATGAGGCCATTTCACCTTCGATCTTGCCGCCGTTCACCAGCGGGATCGGATTCTCGATCAGCACCGTGTCGCCCATTATTGATCACCCTCGAAGAAAAATCGAAGAATACACGCGCGAATGCACTTGATTTCGATTCCTTTTTCTCGTATAAGTACCGGGGATTTTCACCGAGAGAGAGAGAAGGGCGATCCCCGGGAAGAATCGATCGATCGAACGAGGGTACGGACGTCGCAAAAAGCCTTGGCTTTAAGGGAGTCGATTGTTCGATAATCGCTCGAAGACGAAAGAAACAGCGTGCGGGACTCGGGGGTAGACCGGTCCCTACTTACGTCTCGACGATATCGAAAAGAGAGGCTTTGAACACTCGCGTGAATATGTGTAGGTATACGAGGGCGAGGCTTCTCCCTCTTTGTTCGTCGGGCGGGTTCGCGTAGTTTCGAAAGGGTCGGCGCGAGGTCGCGGGTCCAACTGGTCCCGGATTCGGTTGAAGCCCAACTTTTCTACCCGTGCCCGTGGTCCCTCACCGTGCCCGTTTCCGGCAGCCAGTAAGGAGCGAGCCGCGACGATCTTGATCGTGGGCGTCCCCACTCCAGTGGCGCCTCGCTACTGTACGTGTAAAAATATTTATAACCGATCCGATACTACATTTCAGGAGAGTAAGAGCAGGGAAGGCAAGGAACAGCTTATGTCTGCGGAGGGGGATCAGTCTTGGACGAAATTAGAAGCGATCCGGAAGGGCTGCCCTCTCTCTCATTCTCTCTCTCCAGCTATCATCCCCTTTTTAGCGACTCCAGAAGGTGTAAAGTGGATAAGTGGATTGCGAAAAGATCCGTTCAACTAAGCAAGTAAATTTTGTTTCTGTGCATTGGAGCGGACTGAGAGGTTTCAACAATGCGAACTAGATATTTTTTTAAATTTGTAATAATGCGCTCTTATTTTTTCTTCTGGATATGTTTTTTTAATTAAATTTTATTGTAGTGTAAATATTTAAATTAAAAGTTCCATTTTTGGAAGGATGTAACAGTAACAGAAATTTTGTTATTTTTGTCACAAATAATATATAAACTGATGTATTTATAAAAATAGAGACTCAACTTAAATTAAACCATTAAAATTAGAATAATAAAAAATAGAAAAAGTAAAATTATTTTAAAAAATATATATTAAAAGATTTAAAATAAATTAAAAATAAATTAAGAAAATAAAATTATTATTTAATATACAAATCAATTACTAATAATGATAGTCGACTAGGCAAGACTCTCACTGCTTAATAAAAGTTCAAAGAGAGTGAAAGAAATTTAAAGTTGATATTAAATTTCTTTAAGAAAATCTCGAGCCAAATTTTGAACAAAATATTAAATTTCGCTGCATATCGAATTAATGATTCACTGTAGAATCAGCAGTCAAGTGTCAGTAACATGACGTAAAAACACGACTAGACAAAATTAGATACGTCGACATTCCGGAGGAGACAGACCGCGATTCGAAAAATACGAGAACCATGTCTCCTAAGTGTCTGTGAAGGACGAATAATTGTATGATCCTTTTCAAAAGAGAGTCGAGTCTATTAATAAAGAAACCGTTTCGGTAACATGATCGAACGTTGATTCACCATCGGTTGCCTTTATTATGTTTCTAATTTGGGACACCACAGAACGGTATCAGTAAACTGGACTGGAGAACGAGAGCGTGTATGGATTCCCCTAATCCTCGTTAATTCGGGTTATAGAGTCGAAAATATAGATAGTTCGAGAGCGGAGGGGGGAAGGGTCACACACAGGAGATTGACAGAATTAGAAGCGTCGATGTTCCAAAGGGTTGACCGACATTTCTTTCCAGATTTTCCGAGATTAAGTGAAACCCTTTGTTACTGTACTAATATTGATTTAGTAAAACTTGCTTTCTATATAAAAAACATATGTATCGTAAAAGTAGTCAATTTGCAAAGCAACAATAAAATTAAACTAATAAATAAATTCAAGAAAATGAACTGATGGATTTTTTTTGATGGATTTTGTAATTCCGTTAAAAAAATATAAATATTTAATGATAGAATTAATTTGCATTCTTATTAATTCGATCAAATTTTCTTAGATCCAAATCTGATAAATATGTGAATAAGCCAAAGATGTATAAGATGATGATTTTGACGGATTTAAATTGAATAAAGAAATCTGTATTTATAGAACAAATGTATGATGCATTCAAATTATGAAAGTATTATGAGAATAGGAAAAATATGTCGAAAAGTTGATTTCAAGAAAATTTCGAATTGAAACTGGTCGAATTTGTGCGTGAACAAGCCGTGAAAATGTGAACCAGGCGGCGGATAAATAAACATGCGCGTCTGGAAACTGGAGCCGTTATGGTCCGAGCAAAAGAAGAAACAAATTCCGCTGGCGATTTCGAGCAAACGGTACGGTTAAGCACGAAGTCCAGGCCGTAAATCATCATCAAATCGGAGCTTTATTTTGCCAAGTTTCTGCGGCCTTTCGTGAGCTTTCAGTTTTCATGGAATAAATATTTCGATTTTGCAACGCTCGTTTCTTTCTCTGGAGTAACAAGTGTTAACAATCATAATCTGTTATTTCGAGTTAAAGATTCCTTTGAGAAGTGCAATTTAATCCTCAAAGATACTAATCGAAGAATTCAAAGAAGAAAGATAAAATTGCAGAAGCATCGATCTATAAAATTTACTTGAAGTGCAAAGTAGACCTGAAACTATTTTAAGAAAATCTTATAAATTATTAAAAAGACAAAATTTAATAAAATTTAATTTATATATATTTAAATCAAAACGTAATTAAACATTATAGCATATAAAATAGAAATATCATTTCTGCTTTGAACTGTTTAATTATGAAATATATCTATGAGGAATACTCTTTACTGTCTTCGCTGTAATCAATTCGCAGGGTGCTGATCGAGAACCATACTTTATTCTCTTAAAGCTTAAAATAGAAAGATAAATTTGCCGACAATATACCTGCAAAATACACTAAAATTAAAAATATATTATAATTACTCCATATAAACGATTCAAAAATAGAAAAAAAATTGTATCACAAGTTTCGTAAGTTTTTATATAAACTTTTTATATATTTAGAAAGAATTATAATTCTTTCAACAATTAGATTAATTTAAAAATTTAAAACTTTTAAATTTAAACAAATAATTTAATAAAAATCAAATAGAAAAACAATAGTAATTGAAAAAAAATTGTAATAATTTGAATGGAAGATCGATCTATTGAATTCATTATTTTGATAATTTGTTTTTAAAATATTATTTATTTTATAAAATGATTTATCGAGACAGGATCTCAAAGAGATACTCACGGCCATCTCGTCCTCGATGCGGGTGACGTTGAGTAGAGGTTTGATCTTCTGCCACAACTTCCACCACGGCCAGGTGCGAAGTTGGAGGTATTTCCTCAAGTTCCTCTGGACGACCACAAGAGCCAAACGTTGTTCCTGGAGTTTCTTATAGTCTTTACGGGACAAGTAACCCCTGATGTAAGCCTGCATCCAGGACACGATCTTGCCAAGACGCTCATCGCGAAGCTCTTCCATCTGACCCAAGACTCCGGCACGGAAGAATACCTATTTTTCCAGAAGCAAAGAGAAAATGAAACATTGAAAGAAATCGCTCTTATAACGGACCTAGTAAGATGCACCTCGATCACCAAATGTGATAATAAAATTTATGTAGATTGATTCATAATTTTCAGCATTCAAAAAAATATAATTAATTTAAACATATCCAAAGAAAAATAATACTAATAATTAAAGTTTTAAAAGCTATAAGAAGCTTTTAGAATATAGCTATAAATTTTATAATTAATAATTTAACTCTCAATAAATGCTTTAATTTTTATTTAATTTACAGTATCACTGGAAAATAATCGTGGTACATCGCATCAACTTCTATAAACTGGCCTTCCATGCTGCTTTTAGCTTGGAAAGAGGATCGTTATTCAACGAGAGGAAGTAGACAGAAATTGCCTCACGCTTCTTGAGGGATTACACCACGCTGAAAATTGATTTGGCAAAGGTATCCTTTGTTAGCGTAACTGATGATAGCTTGTCATTAATTTGCTCGAAGGCGGTAAACAGTTAATCGCCGAAGCCACGCGGTTGTTAAACTGACACTCTTCGACGTTTAATGGCCAACATTTTCGTATTGATTGCTCAAAGATCATAAATATATAAATATATAAACAGTGTGTTGTACATATTGGAAAATGTATTACAGAATATTCCAAGACTCCAGACTCCCAGAAGTTTTAAATCTTAAAATCTATTTCTGCTTTGGTCTTTGAATTTATACTTTCATCATTTAAATACGTATTTTTCAAATTTATCAAGATTGTTTAAAATTTAAATATTCAATTTTCTTTTTTTATATTTTGATGTTGGCGAATAAATCATCGACGCTGTAAGAACAATTCAAAAGTTCTTGAAACATCCACAGGATATTCAATATTTTATGTATCCTGCGAACGTTTTGAAGGCCTTTCGTGCTATCAGTGATAAATCCTTTAAAACTTTTAGAGTAAATCTTTAGAGTAAATCTCACTCTGAAGAGTGAAATCTCATTTTTAAAGATTAAAAATTGAGTCACTCTTTTTCACTGGCTCAATTTTCACTTTTAAGAGTGAAGATTCCGCTCCAAAGAATTTAGAAAGTGCGATAGCGTTTGCGCGTCGTGATACTATCACAACGTGGACCACAGTAGGTGTCCGATACCTTGGTGTGACCCATGCGGTATTGATCACTCTCCAGATTGATTGCGTCCAGGATGATCTGGGTGGCCTTTTGCGGCTCGCAAGGCTCTTGCACGGCATTGGCGCACAGAATTTTGTATCTGCGTTCGTGGCCGACCGCGCCGTCAAGTTCGATTTTGCGGTTCGATGTGTTTGTTGATGATACATATTGGTATTTGACGATGTGTGTGTATCACAAAACAGACAGAAAAAAATCACCACGCCAGGTTAGAGGTTGTCGTATTATTACTTCTCGTTGTTGTAGAATCGAGAATACATCGGAGGGCGGAAGGTGGGGGAGATTCAAAGGGTAACGAGTATCCTTCGAGGATACTTTGATTGGGGAGATCCACTTTATGTCGATCTTGGACAAGGTAAGACGTTTAATTAAAGCGCGAGAATTCGAAGAATAACTACTAATAATTCATTAAATTTCTACAAGAAATCGATAGCTTGATAGAAAAAGAGTTATAAGTAGCATTGTAAGATCAACAATTTTTATTAAAAATTACAAAGATGATAGTGCTGTTAATTCTCTCGAATATTCGCGCTTAAAAACGTATCATCCTTATCTTTATCTTTACTTATGTCTACCGCCCAGTCACTAAGGGGCATCGACGTGTCAAGGTTTAATTACACCAATGATAATAAACAGACAGAGTCATTTGCGGTCGACGATGTTTGAGTGAAACCAACCCGCTAAATCATTAACAATCATTCTTTACTGTGAAAAGAATCTAAAACAATCTTAAATTGAAGAAATGGTTTTAATCGTCGAGCATCGTTGATCGCATTCAAAGCTGCACTGCGAGATCATCGTCGGACAGGGCCAGATCGAAAGTTGCGTCAGGGGGGGAAAAGGGGATAAAACGTGCCTTGGTGTGTCCAAGACGGTACATATCAGCGTCGAGACCGGTGGAGTCCAAAATAGCCGCGGCCGCATCCTTAGGCTCCTTTGCCTTGTCGACTGCCGCGGGCGCCAGGATCTTGTATCTAAAGGGGTATCGGGGTATACGGGGCGGGGGCAAACGTGCAAATTAATTAACACAAGGATTCAAGATACGAATTTCCGTAGATTTATACTCCGTCGTGTCATCCCCTGAACGGTCCTCGTTCCTCCTTGATCACTAAATCACGATTTTTAAAAAGAAAATCGGGACTCGTTTCATACAAGTATGTACGTGTAACATTGTTCGAGGACTGATCTTCTAATCTAATCGGGTATTTAAAAAAAGTCGGACAACAGATTTGGACCACATCTGGTTAGATTTTTTAACTGTTTTTACGAGACGAATTCACGAGGCAAACAAAACTAAATGGCATTCGAATATATACGTTGCATTCAACGAGATCGAGGGATGACGTGCTGAATTTATAGGGCAAGATTCCAACATGGATCGTCCTTAGGTCTCGCTAATTTATAAAAATGACTTCAAATTAATTAAGAATCATCCGATACGTTACATTTATCATAGGATACGTGAGTTCGTAATATTAATAATAAAAATACACAGATTCCATCTAGAAATCAACAAAACCAAAAATTTAATAGTTTATTTTGCATCGATACTTAATATTTTATCACGTTGTAAATATCAAAAGAATATCTTTTGTCGCGATTTCGGAACAAGGATCTTTAGACCATCCACGTGGAAAACTTTTTTCTCTAATTCTTTGAACATCGGATGTAAAAAGTGGCTAATTCACTAGTTTAGAAACAACGAGGTGGTAGAATTGTCAAAACCATTTTTATCGAGGGTACGTCAACTAGCCTTAGTGTGACCAATCCTATAGTTGTCCGGATCTAGAGCGATCTCTTCGAAGCACTTAGCCGCGGCGACCTTGGGATCGCTATGCGCTGCCATTTGGGCCGGCGCTAGGATCATGTAACTACACGGTACACAACATAAATTCGGTTACTATATTTAAATTCGCGTTAAATTCGAAGATAATAATCCTTCTCGATGCTCCTGATTTCGCGTAAGAAACAGATTCGAAAGTTACGTCGTTCATCATAGAAATTTTAAATTATAAAAATATATATACAGAAAGAAAGGGGATAAGAAGATTATCTTTTTAAATTCTTTCCGAAAAATTATTCTAATTCCGTAGCATTTTGAAATCTATCGTTTTCAATTGATTCCCGTAATTATTACGAAACGAAGAAACTAAAGTAATCAAATAATCGCATTATAAAGTTATTGCTAATAAAAATATTAAATAATATATAGTGATTAGAAAAATCAGCTATGTCGATTATGTTTAAAGAGATGTAATAATAAATTGGTATAATAATAAAAGTTAATGTAATACAATAAAAAACCTAATAATAATTCCAATAATTGGCTAATAAATTCAAAAAATATCAACATTGCAGATTTTTGTAAAATATATAAATTATTGTGAAGGATCGAGGAAATATAGATAATTTCTAAAAGAGCAAAACTTTAGTTCATAAATACTTTTATCTTCCAAACATTAGAAAATCTTTAAAAAAATCTGACGACATAGAAACATATTATTATATTTATATACACTTAGAAAAAACTTAATTCCTCGAGCCATCGAGCTTTTCAAGTTTTCACAAAAATAATCAATAATCGCAGATAAAAGATAAGAAGGATTCTTACCGTAGTTTAAAATCAGGATACACCATTCTGTTGGGGAAACCTTTACGACAAATACGGATGCCTTCAAGCACACCGTTACAAGTGAGCTGATGCATAACCAAATGGGAATCAATCACACCCGGTTGCTTCAACTCGTTGGGGATGATGCAACGGACAAAGTGAGGTTGGGTGGCACGTAAAGTGGTCATCAGGTTGTTCAACTGTTCCTTATAAGAGGACGACACAGTGGAGAAGCCACCACCTTTCTTGCCACGTCCGCCCTTGCCGCCGCCGCCGCCGCCAGCATCACCGGACTGACCGGGATGATCAGCGAAGATCTCCACCAGTAATTTGTTGCTGGATTTCTTAAATTGATCGACCACCGTGTCGTTCAGCGGATCCTTGTTCTTCTCTAGCCAACCAGTGATGTTGTATGGTACCTGAAGCCCAAAGAAACTTTCTATTCCATCTTTTTTTTATAAGACAAGAATTTATATTTAATTTTCAAACTTCCATGACGATAAGTAAAATCGATAAATAAAATTGTCGAAAAATCAGACTTGCTTCCTAAACTATATAGAATTAATTTCTTGCAAAAATATTAACTTTTTTAAAAATAATATAATTATTAATTTTCTTTGATATGAAGTAATGTCTTAATGTTATATTTAAAAATACAATTAATAGTTTTCTTTTAGCAAAAAATTAACTTTAACTTTTCTTAAAAATAAGATGCATGAATTTTTTTTTAAATTAGATCATATTTTATATAAAGTAAAATAAAGAAAAATTCATACATTGCCAGCATAATGGCCGATGGCGAAGTGGGCCGCTTGCTGGCCAGGCTTGGGCGGCTTCGGCTTCAGATAGTTGGGACTTTTGCCGAGATGATTGTTGTTCAGTTTCTCCTCGAAGGTCTTATCAGTGGCCTTGGGGAACATAGACTCTTCCTCAAGAATGGAGAGGATACCCATAGGCTGCGTTGCGAAAAAAAAACAAAGAAATCCATCAGAATCTGTTACATCTCGAGAGGTTTCGCATTTTCCAAGAGTAGCGTTATACAAATAATGTTTTCTTGTTTCTCATCGTTAATTATACGTGAACATATTTCTGTTAAATCGCGACTGATTCTTAGCGCCAAAATTCTACCAAAATTCTACTAATAAAAGAAAAGAAATGGAGGCGTTCTCATTATGCGAAACGTTTGCGAAAGTGTCTGCAAAATATTTTCGCGTGTAGCAAACTTCGTTAGTGCCTCAACTTTTACTGAAAACAGATGCTAAATACTGTCTCTCTCTTTGTTGATATACTTTGTTATCTACTTGCTCGATACTGTGACATTAATGTACCTTTACTTTTGCGACGGTTAATTAATTATATATTATACTGTCGAGCGTGTAATACATTAATAATTAATCTTGCAGATTATGTAAGAGGAAAACCCCCACGCTACTCTTAGTAATGTGCGTTATCTGTAATTCTACAGGATAGATTTATCAAATAGATGCTTCGGCAATAATAATTGCACCTTATTAGATACCTAATTTTCTTTTCAAATAAAATAAAATAGTAATATTATTTATGATTCTTTCTCTCTCTCTTCAAGAATAAATCTAATACAAATACAAGAGTACTATATTTGGTTTTCTCTTGCACTTTCATTGTAGTTCATATTGACTTTCGCAGGTGAAAGAAAGAGATGGAAAAAAGAGACGGAAATCCAAAATCGAAATGTTTACATTTACTTTAACTTTGTTTAGTATGATACCAATTATTGCAAATTGTCTCTATTGTATTAGGAATATATAATTTATTCACTGTAGAGGTTCACATAGACATTTTGTATTAA